TGCATCTAGAGGCACTTGGTGTTCGTGTTTCGCTGTGGGTTTGGCTTGTTACTCTTGGTGGTTGCCGCCACCTAGACGGCTTGGAGCAGCGACGATCGTCTAGTGGAGGTTGGTGATTGTCTCTGGCTCCGATCGTGGTGATTGTGAGGGGTTCTTGACCTTTCCCTGGCGGAGAGCCAAAATGTACTCTAGTGGATTGCTCGTGGCTTGTGTGATCCTCATCTTGTGTTGGTTGTGTGGCACCCTATTGAGGGTTTGGCATGTGATGCCAATTAGCGCGTGAACCTCCAAGTGAGTGAATCACCACAATGAGGACTAGCTTGCCGGCAAGCACATGAATCTCGGTAAAAAATCATTGTTCATCATTTGATTCTGAGGTGATTGGTCTTCATTGGTATTCATTCTTATGATTGATTGGTTCATTCCTCGACTTGGCGGTATAACCATCTTGCTCTCTCTCTTTACATTACCGCAAACTAGTTGTCAAGCTCTTTAGTGTAGCTAGTCATGAGAGCTTGTTAGTTTGGTTAGTGTGGCTCTTTAGTTAGCCTTTGAGAGCACACTAACTTAGTGTAGTGACATAGCCATTGTGTGGATAGAGACTATAGAAACTAGAATTGTGGTAGGTGGCTTGTATTTTTAGTAGGCTAGCGCAACACTCGCTTCGCCTCATATTTGTCTAACCAGTTTGCTAAGTGTTGTTGCAAAAAAATTTAATAGGCTATTCACCCTCCCTCTAGCCATTAGGACCTTTCACAAGTTTGGTTCAACCTATTTTCTCCACTGAACCTTTCTGGGTCGGTTCCACGTCAGCATGAATCTAGCTTCACTGAATGGTGGCGTAGGACTATTAAAAGAGTGAAGAAAGAGGACAGAAAGGGGTTAATTCCCTTATCATTTTGGGGGTTTGGATGATCTAGAAACATAGGAATGCTTGTGTTTTTTAGGGTGCCTCTCCTTCAATTAACTCAATCTTGAGTTTGCTTAAGATGAACATAGTCTTTGGTGTTTAGCGGGCGCTAAGAAACTGCAAGGTCTAGACCTTGGAAGGGTCGCCTAATTCCTTAGGCGTGGTCAAGTCTTGTGTTTTCTGTTTTCTTTAAGGCCTTTTTTTAGTTTGGTTCCCTAACTCTCATATCTAGTCCCCGTATGAGAGGAAGGTGTTGTATGAGGACCCTCCTTTTTTCTCTCTAATACAATGAAACGCAACTCTCTTGCATTTTCAAAAAAAAGCATTGTGGATAGGTGGCTTGCTATTTGATTAGAGCTACAGCAAAATACTTTTATCGCCATTTAGTTATCTAACCAGTTGCTCTAGTATTTTATAGAGATTTTTTATAGGCTATTCACCCCCCCTCTAGCCATTTAGGACCTTTCACCGGCGTTGACGCTCCCTTGCTCTTCTAGGCCGGTGTCGGACGAGGAGCCATAGGTGAGCGCGAGTGAGCTCCGTCGCTGTCGCCACGAGCGGCGAGCATGAGCTTCACCGCTGCAAGCGGGGCGTGCACGAGTGAGCTCCGCCGGGGCCACGGGCGAGTGCAGGCTCCGTCGCCCCTCGCCACCTCCTACTTCGCCACCGTGCGGATCAACAACCCGATGAAAAAACAAGCAGGAAAAAACACAAAGAAATATGCATTGGGTGGTTGACATGTGAGGTCGGCTGACAACAGTTTTTAAGAAGCCACAGTTGTTTAACCAAGTGGCCGGCCCACAAACCACAATAGCTTTTGCACAGCCCATATCTCATAGGAACTTTTTTAGAAGCCACAGCTCAAGGATCGTCGGGAATGGGTGAAAGCTCTAGTTTGGTTTTGGATAATTGATGAAACCCATTAGACTAATCCTTGTATCTAAGTGTGTAACTAGATAGGATGGTCAAATCCAAGTAGAGGAGCTAGATGATGGTCATGGTGTTGGTGATGGCCTAAATGAAGATCAAGTGCTCTCCATTTGGAAAAGAAGAAAGAGAAAAACAAAATGGCTTAAGGCAAAGGTATACTTGATAGGAGCATTTTTATTTTGCCACTCAAGACACCAAGTGGGTGTGAGTGGATTTAGGATAGATAGCCGTACTATTAAGAGGGGTGAAACTCATCATGAAATGCGGTTATCAAAATGCCACTAGATGTTCTAACTCATTGCATGTGCATTTAGATTCTAGTGAGTGCTAACACCCTTGAAAATGCTTTGAGAAAATGCTAACACAAGTGCACAATGATAATACACTTGGTGGTTAGCACTTTGGAACAAGGTGGTGAAGTTGGAGTTGAAAAGGAGGTGAAAACAGGGATCGGACCCTGACTCTGTCAGGACTGGCCCTGAGGTTAGAGTCTGGTCTGGACTCTGGCTCGACAGCGCAGGCGCTGGGATGCATCGGACCCAGGTGCTGGGCGCGATCGGACCTAGGCACGTGGGTCTGGTTGTGGCAGTGGTGAAGCACGGAGGCAACGTGGCATCGAGGAGGACCGGACCATGGCTCTGGGTCCAGAAGGCAGTACCGGACTGAGTCCGATCATGTTTTGACCTCTCGGGAGCTCTCTGTGTAGAACTAGAACCAGGGGATCGCGGGTCTGATCGGCTTCGTCGGACTAGGTCCGGTCATCTTTTTCCTCTGGAACGTTACTGGAAGTGACCGAACCCGCGCGTTAAAGAGTGACTGGACCTAGGGGATCAGGGTGCATTCCAAAATAGTTGACCACGTGGCTGACTTGACCGTTGGAGATCGACGCGTAGCGTTTGAAGCTAGGGACACGTGGTGTCATCTTGTTGATCAGACTCGGTTCGGTCGGTGCGCAAACTGCCCACGCCACCTAGACGGCTTGGTGCAGCGAGGATCGTTGAGCGGAGGGTGGTGCTTGTCTCTGGCTCCGATCATGGTAATTATGAGGGGTTCTTGAGCCTTCCCCATGGGAGATCACGAAAGACATCTTTAGTGGATTGCTCGTGGCTTGTGGATCCCCATCTTGATGTGTTGGTTGTGCGGCACCCGGTTGCGGGTTAGGCGTGTGATGCCTATTAGCGTGTGAATCTCCAAGTGGGTGAATCACCACAATGGGGACTAGCTTGCCGGCAAGCAAGTGAACCTTGGAAGAAAAATCATTGTGCCACATTGTCTTCCGTGGTATTCATCGGTATTCATTGTTGATCTCTTGCCCGGCTAGGTATAATCACTCTATCACTCTTTGTATTTACATTTCATATACTTTTGTAGTGATAGCTGTAGCTAGTTGAGTAGAGTAGCTTAATTAGTGATAATTAGTTTTGCTAGCTTTCTCACCTAGTGTAAAGTAGTGACATAGCCATTGTTTGATACATAGAGATCATAGTATACTATACTTGTGGATAGGTGGCTTGAAACCCTTGTAGTGCTAGCGCAACATTCGCTTCGCCATTTAGTTGTCTAACCATTTGTCTTAGTGTTATTGTAGAAAATTTTTATAGGCTATTCACCCCCTCTAGCCATTTAGGACCTTTCAATGGGATGGGGCGAACCCATTCTTACCGGTGTTTGGTTCAGAAGTGACGAGGGATGGGTCCGTCACAAATGCGAATATTCACTCAGATTTGGGTCGTCCCTCGTCCCTCGAAATCAAGGGGATGGGTTGTCCCCAACCACCACCGTCTCTTCTTCGTCTCACCATCTTCTTCTTCGTCGGCCTTCTTCCTCGAGCTCCCGGCCACGCCTTCTTCCTCCTCGAGCTCTCAGCCACGCTCACTTCTTGCTTGAGCTCCTGGCCGCTCAGATGGGAAGGCACGGACGACCATTGGGAGGCACATGCGGCGCTGGGACCTGGATCCGTCATAGCGCGAGGTTTGGTGTTGGAGCGTGGGGCATGGCGGCGGAGTTCCCGCACGGCGACGGAGGCGCGCCGTCGAGCGCTCAAGGCTTCGGGCGCAAGGGCGACCAGTGAGATTCGGCTAAGTGGGTGCGGGTCTTCGATGTAGGGCAGCGGTGGCGCAAGGGGCAGGCGCGGGCGTGATGGCATGTGGGGCGGGCCAGCAGTAGAAGAGGAAGAGAAAGAAGATAGGGTTGGCTGGTGGGGCCCACCGATGACATGTGGGGCCGTATAACTATAGATGACGGTGTTAAAATTCTATTCATCCTATCTCTCTAACCAAACAAAAAAAACAGGGACCTCCCAACCCCTCAACCAAACAGATAGTAGGAACCATCTCATCCCTGAAAACTAGATTGGGTTCATCTCATCCTACCTTGTCTCCCAATCAAACGTTACCTAAGATAGCGTGTCAGCTTCTATATGGGGTCCACTTATATTTATTAAAAAAACAAACCACACGACAGCTTATCCATGCCTTCTCAGACTCCTCTCATGGCCACACGGCAGTAAATATTTTTGCACGCTTGTATGTGCTTGTGTAATGATTATACACCATGACTACATCATATAAATAGCATACTCTTTATACATCATTTAGCTTTAGGATTGGTTTACTCTCTTTATTCTAGAATTGCATTTTTTTAACAGAGGGCTCCTTTGTTCATAGATACTGATAGTTCTAGAACTAGAAACAGACTGTAAAAAGGATTGTCATAAAGCCAACCATCCTTTCAAAATTGAGTTCTCTTCTCGTTTTTTTATTTGAACAGCTCTGCCTTGCAGATATATTTCTTTAATTAGACCTGTTCCTTACTTGATCTAGATCGCATGACAGTTACAGGCAATGCCTTGAAAATGTAGGAATATATTCACCTATCAGTTATCACTAATTCGTTCAACTTTCGTGCGAGCCAGCGCTGCCTACTACACTCCACAATGGTGGACTATGAGTCAGCTGCACTATTTCGGTTGCCTTAACAGAAATGACACACAGCAATTATGCTGCTACGCTACGCTCATCAGCTGTTTTCTCACACACAATCGCCTGCTTACGCTGGGCTCTTCGCCGCTTTCTATAAATGCCGGCGCGGTTCAAACCAAATCACACGGAATCCCCAACCAACCCCCAGCGCGCTTGACGAGTGGAGTGGTGGCACGGCAATGGGGGCGACTACTCGAGCTCTGCTCGTCTCCTGCTTCCACGGCGGCGGCGGCTCAGAGATGAGCCACCGCCTCTCCCTGCGCCCGCGGTACCCGTCAATGCTGCGGCGCCCGAAGGGAGTGGCGGTTGCTGGCGGCGGAGGAGACGGGGACCTGGAGGCCGCGGTCGGTACGGGGGATCAGGAGGAGGAGGAGAAGGTGGCGGTGTTCTCCGTGTCCGGGATGACCTGCGCCGCGTGCGCGGGGTCGGTGGAGAAGGCCGTGAAGCGGCTCCCGGGCATCCACGACGCCGCCGTCGACGTCCTCTGGGGCCGCGCGCAGGTCGTCTTCTGCCCAGCCTTTGTCTCGGTGAGCTCCGTGTCCGTGTACTTGGTGAATTTTGTTTGTGTTTTTTAATGTAAAAAAAAAAGAGTCTGTCTACGTAATAGTCGGTTGTTTTAGTCCTCCAAAGAGTCGGTTGTTAGCAGAGAAAAAAAACGGATTCTACGGGACCCAGAAACGACTGTTGGAGCAAACAAAAACAAACGAATTTCAAACCCTACGATGTGGCTTAGACAGGATAGGATCGTGCGCGCCGGGCCCTTCGGGTGTCCATATTTTGGCCCACCTTAGCGTAGGCCCCTATGTTATGCGGCCGTAATATTTTTATACCTTCCACCGCTGTTACGCCAGAAATCCAAGGTTCCACACGAGCTCCTGTTCTGCGGCGTGGTGGCAGGACTGCTGTTCATTATTCTTGATGGAGAGGGAGGATCCGCCTTTTTAGATTTTTTCTAGATCCAACGGTCAAACAAAACTACAGCCAAATAAACACATCGGCAATCAATCTGACAACTAAAAGTTACTAAATCTGACCACATTTATTAAAAGGCAGCAACTAAATGTTTCGCTTACACTAACATTAAAAAAATTGTCTGAAAACTGAAACTAAGAAATAAAAAAACAACCGGATTCTACCAGGACCCAGAAACGACTGTTGGAGCAAACAAAAACAAACGAATTTCAAACCCTATGATGTAGATCCAACGGTCAAACAAAACTACAGGCAAATAAACACATCGGCAATCAATCTGACAACTGAAAGTTACTAAATCTGACCACATTTATTAAAGGGCAGCAACTAAATGTTTCGCTTACACTATCTTATATAAAATTAAAAAAAAAACATTAAAAAAATTTGACTGAAAACTGAAACTAAGAAATAAAAAAATTGATTGAAAACTGAAAAAATGAAGAAAACAAACTCAAATAACTGAAAATAAAAAAAAACTGAAATAATGAAACTGAAATCGACAAACAATAAATAAAACTAAAATTGACAAAGATAAACTAAAAACAAAATTAGACAAAATGAAAAGAAAAATACAAAATAACAACAAAAGAAAAAAAGTACCAGCATAGGCTTCTAGGTGTGGCCTGGTTGTTAGCATCTTTATCGGCTTTTTGCGTTTCCTCGATAAGGCCCCGTTTAGATTCAAAAAATTTTTTTTTTTGTATTTGATAATTGATAATTAGTGTCTAATTATGGATTAATTAGGTTTGAAAGTTTTGTCTCGCGATTTCTCACCTAATGTGTAATTAGTTTTTTTTTTCTACATTTAAATCTTCATCACGTATCTTACAAGATTCGATGTGATGGATACTGCACAAAAAAAAAAATTTTAGGTTTTGTGTTTCCTCTACAGCGGCTGCATGTTCCGCCTGCCTACTGACCTGCATGCGCATGGGCCCCACGCCCTTCCCCTCTCTCTCTGCAAGCTAAACCGGTCCCCACGCCTGCCTCCTGACGCGCGGCTGCATGCGGTTGCCCTTCTCCCTCTGCAAGACTGCAATGCGATCGGTCCCCACGCCTGCCTGCGATCGCACGGCCAGAAATCCGGGTGCTGGAGCCGGATGAAACAACCGGGCACAAGATAGCAATTCTGAAAAAAAATGCAGAGCTCTAGATTGAAACGTTTTTTACGAAGAAACATTACTTATGTGCATTTGGACAGAGTTTTCCCAATTACAACCTGCTGACGTGGGCGTCGTGGTCTATCTCGACATCTCGAGACATTTGCAATCGGATCACCCATGAGATCTCTCTGACAAGAAAACAAAATGGTTATGGCAAAGGGCCGTTCGCGTGCCCTTAAACCCAGCTTAATCCGTTTTTTTTTCATCCGAAATAGTGTTTTTCTCTCTCAAATTCCTCCAGCATTCTTCCGAACCATCCAAATTCCTCCAGAATTCCTCCAAGCGAATAGGCCCAAAATGTTGACACTCGAGAAATAATTCGCGAGGCCTTAATTGAAATAATTGATATGGAATGGACCTTGAAAAAGAGTGCTTTCTCCTTCTTTTGCATTTATTTGCTTCCTTTCAGTTTAGAAGGCTACAGGTAGACAGCTTTGCTTCTGATGTTGAACTGCTGACTATCCTTTAGAAAAGGAAGAACGATGGTGGTTCAGGGTTCCTGGCTTTCTGCATATTGCTGGCAAGTTTTCAGATACAAATGCACTCCTGGATAGAAAGTTAGAAACTAGAATTGAAGACCTACCTAATATGCTTCTGTGCAGACATTAGATCAGTTGCTTGATGCGTATTATTGATTTTCCCTTGTTGAATTTATGCCTCTTATTCGGTTCCACCCTGCATTCTGTTTGTAAGTTTCAATTTGTTGATCTGTTAGCTTGGTATTCCTCTAAATACCACTATGCACCCAATTGGTTATTGGACTGTTTAGTTGGAAGTAAAATTGAGTTATTCAAGAATAATTTGACACTTACGTTTCCCATCTCATAATTACTTCCTTTCATCTGTGGTGCATTAGGGATGCAAAATTTCAATCTTGTCTGCCATCATTTTGGTAACTTTTTTGGAAAAGATCTGCCAACTTGGAAGGCACGACACTTCTCTTTTCACTAGCATTTTCAAATTCATTAGAATGAAAGTTTTTTTCTGTTTTATGGATTTTTTTTTATTAATGGAAGTCATTTTCATGAAGCATAAGTGCCCTACTCTAGTTGCATCAGGGGAGACGCCTCATGCGGTTGCCCCTGTAGGACCACAAAAACTTTCATCTCACATTTCAACCTAGTGGTTGCTTCTTGAAAAACTATTTTATAATCTTTATGATATGATGGTGCCAATTCGTTCATCATCTTGTAACTTCAATCATTAATACCTACGCTGGCACACTTAGATCTATAGACAATTAAATATAGTGAACAAGAAACTGAAGTGCTTCCTCCATTCTGTTTTATTTGACGTTTTGAGTATGAAAATATTTTTAACTAGAAAATAGCAATGCAGTTTTCATCTATTGTGGTGGCCAAATTTTAGAATGTTTCATGCGACAGATTCCATAGGATGCAAAATAGAAAGAAAAAAAGAATGGAGTAATATTATGTAAGAAGAAAGTCTTTTCTTAACAAATATAGGTACATGACCCTCTTTTGGTTTTGACTTCAGGTATAGCACAAAGCTATATTTGGTATCCCTGTCATGAACCCACTTAGAGCAGAAACTTTTCTCCTTATAGCTTGGACTTATATTTGTGCCTGATCTAGTATTTGCGCACTTCCTTCCTTGGATAGTGCCTCCTTTTCGAATAGCACCTTTCAATAATTGTGAATCGGAAAAGGGATACCCTTTTTGTAAAATTGTTAGGTTCCTGGAAACTAAAGACAATTCAATGCTTGATGATTAATTACAAAATTTGATTTTAAAAAACATATAAAAACCAATATATTTAAAATGAACGACATCCATTCTTAAACTGTCTTCTGAATAAACCAATTCACAAAACATGCCTGGTACAGGCCTGAAAATCCCAGCCCAACAAGAACTAACTTGAACCTTGGGAGAAGATTGGTATATGGTGTAGATGCATAAGTATACCTAAATTATTATTTTTCCGTTGACCATGAGCAGGTGACAGGTCTGCTTGTGAATACCCCATTTTGGCATGTTGCCCTTTACACACACAAGGAGAATTGTATTTGTGCAGTACGTTTGGATTATTCAACACCCAAGTTTACACTTTTTTCAGTTGATCCAAACAATATATTCGCAGTATATACACTGAAATTCTCTGATCACTTTGTTATTGTGTATATTGATCAAAAGTTAATAGAAACCTGTTTAAATTTTAAATTGTTTAATGTTTTTTTGCCATGTTTTTATAGAGTATGAGCCATCATTTTAATACTTGTTTCCAAGAGATTGTGATCATGTAAACCATTTTGGACAGGAGAACAAAATTACTGAAGCCATTGAGGATGTTGGTTTCGAAGCTAAATTGATTGATGAGGAGGTCAAGGAAAAGAACATTCTACTTTGCAGGCTACATATAAAAGGAATGGCCTGCAAGTATTGCACAAGCACAGTTGAATTTGCCTTGCAAGCTTCTCCTGGAGTTCAAAGAGCTTCAGTTGCATTGGCTACTGAAGAGGCTGAGATCCGTTATGATCGCAGGATTATTTCTGCTAGCCAGCTAATCCAAGCAGTGGAACAAACTGGCTTTGAAGCGATACTAGTGACCACAGGAGAAGACCAGAGCAGGATAGACCTCAAAATGGATGGTGTTCTCGACGAGAGGTTGATAATGATATTGAAAAGCTCTGTAGAGGCCCTTCCTGGTGTGGAAAACATTAAATTCAACTCTGAGCTACACAAGGTCACCATCTCATACAAGCCTGACCAGACAGGTCCCCGAGACCTCATTGAAGTCATCAAGTCAGCCACATTTGGTAATGTCAATGCATCAATATATCCGGAAGCAGATGGAAGGGGCCAACATAGGTATGGGGAAATCAAACAATACAGGCAGTCTTTCATGTGGAGCTTAATATTCACCATTCCAGTTTTTCTCACCTCCATGGTGTTCATGTATATCCCTTGGCTAAAGGATGGGCTGGAAAAAAAAGTTATCAACATGATGAGCATCGGTGAACTATTTCGGTGGATTTTGTCAACACCGGTCCAATTTGTTATCGGTGGCAAATTTTATGCTGGTGCTTACAAGGCAATGTGCCGTGGCTCACCGAACATGGATGTCCTTATTGCTCTAGGGACAAACACGGCTTACTTCTACTCAGTTTACTCAGTTCTTCGAGCAGCTACCTCTGAGAATTACATGTCAACTGATTTTTTTGAGACTAGTTCCATGCTCATATCATTTATCCTTCTTGGAAAGTACCTTGAGATCTTGGCAAAAGGAAAAACCTCTGAGGCTATCGCCAAGCTGATGGATCTTGCACCGGAAACTGCAACACTTTTAATGTATGACAATGAAGGAAATGTGGTAGGAGAGAAGGAGATTGACAGCAGGCTAATTCAGAAAAACGATGTGATCAAAGTAGTCCCAGGTGGAAAAGTTGCTTCTGATGGATTTGTTATTTGGGGCCAGAGCCATGTGAATGAAAGCATGATTACTGGAGAATCGCGACCAGTAGCAAAGAGAAAGGGTGACACTGTAATTGGAGGGACAGTGAATGAGAATGGCGTGCTCCATGTCCGGGCTACATTTGTGGGATCAGAGGGTGCACTGGCACAGATTGTAAGGCTAGTTGAGTCAGCACAAATGGCAAAAGCTCCTGTCCAGAAGTTTGCTGATCATATATCTAGAGTCTTTGTTCCCCTGGTAAGGTCAATTGTATTGTATTTGATCCAATCTACAGTCTAATTTTATGGAAAAATGCTGAGCAATCAGCTCCATGCTTTCAGGTGATTCTTCTTTCAATGCTTACTTGGCTCGCATGGTTCGTCGCGGGGAGGCTCCATAGCTACCCTCACTCATGGATACCACAATCCATGGATAGCTTTCAGCTCGCTCTCCAGTTTGGGATATCAGTTATGGTGATCGCCTGTCCTTGCGCCCTTGGGCTGGCTACTCCAACTGCTGTGATGGTTGCAACTGGAGTTGGTGCTTCACATGGTGTTCTGATCAAGGGTGGGCAAGCTCTGGAGAGTGCACAGAAGGTATGGAATAATCTCATTTACTGTGAGGACGTGCAAGTTCAAAAAAAGGTCATTGAATTGTTCAGAAATGCTAAATTATCTCATGATACTTAATAGGTCGACTGCATCGTTTTTGACAAGACAGGGACGCTAACTATTGGGAAGCCTGTTGTTGTTGACACAAAGCTTCTTAAAAACATGGTCTTGCGTGAATTCTATGACTATGCTGCTGCAGCAGAAGTATGTTGTACAACTCTTATGTTTGTCATCATCTTTTTTTTTCCTTAATATTTCCATATTAAAAAAAGTCTATCCTTTTGAGATTCCATGGATTCTTATCTCGTTTAGGTCAACAGTGAGCACCCCATGGCAAAAGCAATAGTGGAGCATGCGAAAAAGTTGCATCCAGAAGAAAACCACATTTGGCCTGAAGCAAGGGAATTCATTTCAGTAACTGGGCAAGGTGTCAAGGTGGAGATTAGTGAGAGGAGTGTCATTGTGGGCAACAAGAGCTTTATGTTGTCTTCTGGCATTGATATCCCCTTGGAAGCTTCGGAAATTCTCATGGAAGAAGAGGAGAAGGCGAGGACAGGGATTATTGTGGCGATCGACCAAGAAATTGTGGGCATAATCTCTGTATCTGATCCGATAAAACCAAATGCCCATGAAGTGATATCATACCTCAAGTCCATGAATGTGGAGAGTATAATGGTGACTGGTGACAACTGGGGGACAGCTAATGCTATCGGCAAAGAGGTTGGCATTGAAAAGATTATTGCCGAAGCGAAACCAGAGCAGAAGGCTGAGAGGGTGAAGGAACTTCAGGTGACCTATTTCGTGTTTTGTTTTGTCACTTTCAAAGTGCTTTTATCCAGTTATGTAACTTATTCTGACCCAAATTCTTGCAGCTGTCTGGAAGAACCGTGGCGATGGTTGGTGATGGAATCAACGACTCCCCAGCGCTTGTCTCGGCTGACGTGGGGCTGGCAATCGGCGCAGGAACGGATGTTGCCATCGAAGCTGCCGACATTGTCCTCATGAAGAGCAACCTGGAGGATGTGATCACCGCCATCGATCTGTCCAGGAAAACCTTCTTCCGCATACGCATGAACTACGTCTGGGCGCTCGGGTACAACGTCATCGGCATACCGATTGCTGCAGGGGTGCTCTTCCCGTCCACTGGGTTTCGCTTGCCGCCGTGGGTTGCCGGTGCTGCGATGGCAGCTTCGTCAGTCAGTGTCGTCTGCTGGTCCCTGCTGTTGAGGTACTACAAGGCTCCAAAGATTTTTGCAGTTGATGACACAGCTGGAAGACGGGCATATCATTTGCCAAAACAAATTACTCTGTATATATCACATACTATATCACTGGCACTGCTGCTGCTGGAATGAGAAGGTTGGCTGCTAACAATCGCTGAAACAAAACTCTAAAAAAGAATCGCTGAAACAAGCTATACATATGTGCTACTAGTATACGGCGATGCTAAGTGAAATGGTGGTGTAACTACTTGTGATCTGCATTGTTGTATCGATCTATACCGTTTTTTTTTTCCTCCTAAAAAGAGGACTTATAGCACTGTACTGTTTATGATCTGAAACTGAGGAAAATGGAATCTGAATATTTTTCAATTAATCTCACGTGACTAGCACGAGCGTGGCAGGGATGGATGCTATATATATTGTCTTCAAACTTTAATCACCAACAAGTTGACACGCTATTGCTCCACCTGGACCTGGAGAGATGTTCACGGAAGCCACTTGAACAAAGTGGAAGCAGGAGGGTTCTTGAGGTGACAATGGGGATCATATTCGGTGAAAAGCAGAGAAGCTGGTGCTCGGTGATGATAGATCCCACTGGTACGTTGTTTTTGGACAGTAGTTTTCCTCTGTGGCCAATGTTAGTTACCTAACCAAACCGTTAACACATAACAAAGTGACAAACGCACTTACAACGGAAAGAAAATCATGATAGGATGGCAATGCGCGCCGCTGAGTGGCTCCCAATGGTAGCAGTAAAAGATGCGTTTTAGGTTTAGCCCAGACCCAGGCACTCAGCACACCATAACCCTGAAAAAGTTGAGTGACTTTTTTTTAAAAAAAAAACCCCTTCACCACCGATGATCCGATCTGTTCGCTTGAGCTTGTTTGGCTGAGAAGTTATGGCTGAAAGTATTATTGGCTGATTTGGTGTAAAAGAAAAATACTATTCGTTGCGTTGAAAAAATACAAGCTAGTCCAAACGTGGCGATGACGTACGACCAACCGCGCGGTCCCTTCCATTGCATGACCCACACGACGCACCCGGTGCCCGATGGCATCAAAACAACTTGCTTTTCTGGTTGTTGCAGCGTCAACCTGAAATGAAGGCGCGGCCATGCATTCGCTGCTCTCGTACAAAATCATGGTGCTACTAATAAAACACCTTTTTTTTGCAAAAATGTTGTGTGCAGGGTGTTAGCAAACAATGCAAATAAAGATCGAATATGATACATAGATTTTTATGTGAAAAACCCTTGCGAAAAAAACCACGGGTGCCAACCGGCGATCTTCACCGTACGAGGAGAGTTTACCGAACGCATGAGAATACGATGAGTCGTCTGAGCTCTTCCCGTACAGCTTACAAGATATATTTATAGGACGGACTGATTGTAGTCAAAACGAAAACAAATCCGCTAATAAACATAATCCGAACTGCAGGCGTCCCCACAAGACCCACGTTAGAATTCGGATCATATTCCAACACAGGGCACCTGTCCCGTCTGGACACCTCTTCCTGGGTCTACGTACCAGTCCAATAGACCTCCCGCGTTCGTCCCTTCCGTTGCTCCCGCCGCCCGCCCCGTCTGCTCCTACTCCTGCTCCGCCGCCCGCCATGCTACTCCTGCCGCTGCTCCTGCTGCGCACGCCAGCCCCACTGCTCTTGCTCCTGCTCCGCCGCCTGCCCCGCTGCTCCTGCTCCGCTGCCTGCCCTGACGCGGAAGCCCTCCGGCCTTGTCTCCTACTACGTCTATGGTGCCCCGATGCAGACGACGGAGGAGGCCGCACCGGGATATGTTGCAAGTGTGAATTTCAAATGTTTTGGACGTTTTAGAGGTATTTTACAAGTGTTTCATATGGATGTTGCAAAAATAGATCGGATGTTACATACGTTGCAATGGTTGCACACGTATGTTGAATGTGTGTTTATCTTTATGTCGCATATGTTTTCACATATATGGTGCAATTATTTTATCTGGATGTTACGTATGTTTGCAATGGTTTTTAAGTATTTTTGCAAGTGTTTCATCTGTCTTTAGACGTATATTGTAAGTGTTGTATCTGAATATTTCAAAAGTAGATTAGATGTTATACACGGGATGCAGGTGGAAGCAAGAGCGGCCTCGCGTGGGCGCGCGAAAAGCGGGCATGTGTAGGGGCGTGCTAGCACGGACGCAGGGTCTGTTCGCTTGGTCGTAAACGATCGTAAATTTTCAGCCAGAACAGTATTTTTCTCTCACACCAAACCAGCCAAGAGTAATAATCCACGATCGTATAAGCACTGCAAGCGCGCGGGGAGAAACGATTCGGCCCGAGGCACAGTACCGTCCGACGGATCGGCATCCGGGCGGCAACAGTACTATTTTTTTTTTTGTCTACAATCAGCCGTAAGCCGCTGCTGGCCTTAAACTCACCAGCTACAGTACATTTGTCACGCGTGCCGCGTGCCGCGCGAGTTCCAGCAGAAACTCAGATTGTCGAAACGCGTCCAAATACAAATCAGAGCTTTTTTTTTCTTCGATTCGAGATGCTGGCAACCGGACATGCGCGCCCGCCAGCTTCAGCGTCTCACGAATCGACGTGCCTTGACGGCCACCGCGCACGAGCATGGCCGGCCGCACACGGTCCTTCACTCGCAGGCCCAAGGGCCCGGGTGCGTGCTTCCAGAAGCTGCCGAGACTTTTTCGGCTGCGCGTTTCACACTAGTTCCAACCGTACGCGGGCTGCAGGGAGCGGAAACATGAAGAAGGCCCACGGCCCAGCGAGTGAGCACCGCCCGTCTCAGCCCAGGCCCGCAGCAGCCGTGAAGTAGGTTCTTCGAACCGGCGGTACCCATCGCCATCGGAGGGTAGGAGTACGTACAGTACGACCGCAGCCGAGACGGTTGACCAACGCGCGCCACGATGCCGTTCACACGCCGACGCGGCGGGCTCCTGGCCGACGAGCTCTCCCCTCCGAACCCCGCGTGGACCCCACGATGCCGTAGGGGCGTTCACACTTCGTCTGTCTCAACTGTCACGGCCCCCGTTATCCGATCCAACACCCAATCCCCCATGGGCCTGGCCGTATAAATCACCCCGCCGGTGACGTCTCGTCGTCTCGGCCCACATCCTCAGCTCCGCCGCTTTTGCTCTCTCCCGGCTATCAGCTTCGTCTACACGCTACCGCCTAACAGCCGCTCTCTCCTCCCGAACCCCGCTAGTTCGCCGCCGCCGCCCGCCGTTCGCCCCAGCATGGCCGCCGCGTCGTCCGTCACCTCCGTCCACGACTTCACCGTCAAGGTCAGTCCCGTTCCCCTCGTCGCCCTCCCAACCCCAAAAACGTTCGTGTGCGTAGATTCCAGAGGCGATAGGATCATAGGACCCCGTGATATTTCGCATGGAGCGCTTGCTTAGCGTGCCTCGGAGCCGCAAGCCCGATTCTGTTGTGCTGTGCATCCGGATTTCAGTGGTTCCTGATTCGCGCGGAACTTAGTGTAAATTTTGCTGTCGATCCGTTTAATTGCCTTGCAAAATTACTGAATTTGCTAACCATTAGCTAGCTGTTTTGCCGGATTCTTGAAGAGTAGATGCCGCAGCCTCTGATTTGGCAGAGGCCAGAGGGAGTCTAATGATTGCTTTTTGTTTGCTGCTCGTGTGCAGGATGCGAGCGGCAAAGACGTTGACCTCAGCACCTACAAGGGGAAGGTTCTTCTCATCGTTAACGTCGCATCCCAGTGGTATGAAAATTAGCTGCAGAACCTCGCGTCTTCCTAACCTTCTTACTATTGTCATTGTTTGGTCCATTGCAAAATTGTATCAATATGAGGTGGTTCATTTCCTCTACTACCTGGAACCATTTGTTCCTACTTGATATAAAATATTGGTTTTATCTGTGCTTACTTATTTCACTGTCAGATGTAGACATCTTTTGTTTGCATTGTATAGAAAACATTATTCTGTACACTGCTAATTGCTGCACTGTGACGGATTATTTCAGTGGCTTAACCAACTCCAACTACACCGAGCTGGCCCAGCTCTATGAGAAGTACAAGGACCAAGGTGTGTCCTTAATCCATTGCTTTTGTATATTCTTAGTGTTGTAATGCTTATCTGTTCTCATGGCCATATGCATTAGTGGATTATTTTATCCAACTATCGGTTGTTCGTCGATTTAAACAATTCTGGTTGTTGGGGATGCTAATTGGTAAGTACAATTGCCAATTTGTGATCTATGCAGGCTTTGAAATCCTGGCTTTCCCATGCAACCAGTTTGGTGGGCAGGAGCCTGGTACTAATGAGGAGATTGTGCAGTTTGCCTGCACACGGTTCAAGGCTGAGTACCCCATCTTCGACAAGGTAAAGCTCTAGTCTTCTAGCTGTTTCTCACTTTCTCCTCAACCAGAGTAATGCATAGAACTTAGGAGTAGTATATAGCTGTCTCAATGCAAAGATACAGTTATCTAACTTAGCAGGATGATGTGATGATATCAGTGATGTGTGATGATCCTAAGAGACCCAGACCCATGTAGAATGGTCTGTTATGGAGCAGTACTGACTTCTATCGCTTATTGCTTGCCAGGTTGATGTCAATGGTAACAATGCTGCGCCCATCTACAAGTTTCTGAAATCTAGCAAGGGTGGCCTTTTCGGCGACAGCATCAAGTGGAACTTTTCCAAGTTCTTGGTTGACAAGGAGGGACGTGTTGTGGATCGCTATGCTCCAACCACTTCACCTCTGAGCATTGAGGTAAACTTTCAGCACCGCAATTCACATTTGCTGAAAGCGCTTAACTAGTATGCTATTGTGATATCATTGTAATGTTTTTCTATAATCTCTGCAGAAGGATATCAAGAAGCTGCTTGGGAGCCCTTAAACAATATCTGGCTGGAAAACTGTATAACAACATGTATGAGCATTGCTCTGAGCGCTAAAATATATAATAATGTTGTATTAATAAAGTAGTGCTCCGTATTTGAGAGGTTGCAGTACCTGTTATATTTTCCTTGCATGCACTCTGTACTTGTATATTCCCTTCGAATGAATTCCAATGCTGTATCAGTTCGTTGCCCCATTTTCGTGTAACTAGCCTGCAATTTCCTAACCCGAAAATGTGTTATTTTTTAACCATTGGATAGGAATTGCTATTTATCTGTCAATAGATTTCTTCCCTAAAATCTGTCAAATTTTTAACCATTGGATGCAAAATTTGGTTGTAGACCTCTCTCCTTTAATCATGGATGATGCATTGAACTGAAGGGTTTTTGTTACTAGATCTTTTTTTTGTCTATTTCAATACCGTGGTTTTACAGAAATTTTCATCATAAACTTTCAAGTAGCGAGTTTTCCAATTTCAGTGGCTTTTGTCTTTGTACTATGTTTTTCCCCCTTTTTTTCACTCCGTCTAATAATAACAGTGGCAAAACTCTTGCCGTCCTTTAAAAAGAACTTTCAGGCCTGTACATAAGTTTCTCTCTATATACTCTCTCAAGAAATGGTTGTTTCTCAAATGTAATGTATTCATGGTATAAAAAACCTATTCTATAAATAATGTAACAGGCTATGTTTTTCTCTGGTATGGCCCTGACGTTAGTTCCGTTAAATAGTGGACACTCCGACCTAGTTCCATCACTTTGAAGATTTTTCTCCGGTGTGGCCGATTAAATAGCAGACACTCCACCCAATTCCGGCTCCGCCATTTTAAAGTTTTTTTTTTCTCTGTTCGCTTCTCTTATAATCCATCTTTTGCAGCTTGTTTTTTTAGGCGAAACAGTGTTTTTCTCTCACAGAGAATCAGCCGGAACAATGTTTCAGTTTGTTTTTTCAGCGAAGCGAATAGCCTTTATAGTGAATCTGACTCAATACTCGACCCAGTTCAGCCATTTTGAAGTTTTTATAGTGAGCCCAGAACATAGTAATACAAATTTTGGAGCCGCTATTAGCATATTACAGTTCTTTTTTTTCCAATATGGCGTTTTATTTACATTAATAATGATTTGCCAAAGCTAAGTTACTCTTACAAGGCAAATACTATTCGCACTCTCTTATGCCATATCGATTCACCACGAGAACTCAAATGAAACTAGAAAATAGTGAAATACGCCTTTCATCTTGCTATGTAAGCAACGAAGTCGTCAAGGTCCTTGCGCGAGGACCCGCCCTCGGCCACGGAGGCGCGAATGGACTCCATGAGCTGCTTGGCCCTCTCCCGCACCGCCAAACCTTCGTCGCGTGCCATCACCTTCTCGATCACCTCCCGGATGGCTTCCGCAGGTGTCACAGCACCGTGTTGCTCCCATGGCCTCACCAGGATCCCGGCCTTGAGGCACTTGCACACGAGCTCCGCCACCAGCGGCTGGTCGGAGTGCATGGGCCAGGCGAGCATCGGCTTCCCGTGGCTCAGGCTCTCCATGGTCGAGTTCCAGCCGCAGTGGCTCATGAACGCTGCCGTGGCGCTGTGCGCCAGGATCTCCAGCTGCGGCGCCCACCCGGTGATCACCAGGCCGATGCCTCGAGTTTCCTCGGTGAACTCGGACAGGAACTTGGCGTGCCTACTCTCCGCGGCTTCCTCCTCGTGCACCACGCCCCGATCAGCGTCCCGCAGAACCCAGATGAACCGCTGCTTGCTGTCGCGCAGCGCCGCGGCGAGCTCCGCGATCTGCTCCGCCGGCAGCGACGACGTCGTGCCGAACGACACGTACAGCACCGACGCCGGCGGTTGCTTGTCGAGCCAGTCCAGGCACTCGTGCCGCGCACTCTGTACCGCTGCCGGCGCGGTCACGTCGAGCAGTGGGTTCATCGGCCCGACGGCGAAGACCCTCTTCCCTCGGTACGCCGGGTCCCCGGCCACCAAGTCGATGAACTCGCTCTCGATCGCGCGGCACGTGTTCGCCACTACCCCGGCGAAAGCCGGACTCTGGCCGTCCTCCTGCGTCCCGACAATATACTCGACGAACTCCCTCGGCATGCAGGCGACGGGGTGCGAGGCGTCGAGGCCGCGCGCGCGCAGGAGCCGCTGCCCGGCGTCCGTCCACGCGGCGTCGAAGGACGAGGCCACGCACTGCAGGCAGAACGCTTCGCCGTTGGGGATCCGCGCCGCCTCGGGCGCCGCGAAGGAGCTGAGGCGATCGTACAGGACGACCACGCGGCGGTGGCGCGCGGAGAGCCTCGCGAGGAGGGTGGCGACCGGGGCGCGCGCGCCCGCGACGAAGGCCTCGCCCATCGGCATGAGGTGGGTCGGGAACGGCGAGGCCGCGGCCGGGTCCGGCGGCGGGGTGGCGTACGCGGGGACGTCGAGCTCGTGGAACTCGATGCGGCGGAGGGCGTCGTCCCCCCAGCCGTGCACGCGCGCGCGCGCCTGGCGGACGTGCGGCCCCGGCGCCGCGTAGTGCACGGCGAGCCCCCGGGACGCGAGCAGCAGCGACATGTGCAGCATGCCGTTGAGGTGGCCCTGCGCCGGGAACGGCACCGCCACGACGGCAACGGATTCCATGGACATTTCAGATTTGGGTAGAGCTTGTTCGAGTGAGCATGCGGTGCCTCGATTAGCTGGCTCCAAGTATATAGTATGTGGACGAGAACATATACGTACTCTTCAAGTTCCCTGACGTGACATGCATGCACGTGCGCAGCAAGAAACTTGACCGCCGTCGACGATGGTCAGCCTCACGTGTGTGCGTGCGACTAGGAAGATCTTTTACCAGATACACTCAAAATTCCAAGTTTTTTCGCTCTCTCTCCATCACATCAATTTTTAGCCGTTTGCATGGAGCATTAAATGTAGGTAAAAAAAATAACTAATTACACAGTTTAGTTGGAAATCACGAGATGAATCTTTTGAGCTTAGTTGGTCTACGATTAGACAATATTTACCAAATAAGACGAAAGTGCTACTATTCATCGGGTTGAATTTTTTTTTAATCTAAACAAGGCCCCAGTCTGGGAGAATTGGAAGATTGTTAAGTGTATATCACGCATACGTCTTTTATTGGTTAGACTTATAGGAGACAAGTCTGGGAAGTTTGGATAGTTTCTCCTGGATCGGACCGTCTGAAACTCAGGAACTTCACTATAATCACATGGCAATTTCGCACAAATCATTCAATTTTATAGGAAAAAAAAAAGCAGTAGCTCTTTCTTTGCAGAAATACTTCTTCTCAGTCGCGTGTTGCGTTGCTTATCCGTCAGTCAGATGCACCTACGCCCGCGCTATGCCCGCTCGGACCACGCCGCCCGTGTGCACCGGGAAAAATAAGAATTTAAATTCTATTCCAAATCATTGTTTATGATGCATGACACTTTTTATAAACTAATGAACTAACACAATTTGATCACTCCATCCTTCTCTTGCATATATAAATGGCTTTTACTAAAACCCTTCGCAGAATCAAGTAATGCAACTTTGAGAACTAAATCACTCTTCTCTTCGTGACATGCTCCAAGTCGAAGCTTGTCACTTTGCCATGGCTCCTATGCCTCTCGCACCCCACCCCATGGCGACCGGCGACAACGTCGGCCAGTAGCAGTGGTGATCATCACGGGGTGCGCCAAGGGTGGGATCTGGTACGAGTACTGACATGCCTTCATGGCTCTCGGCTGCCGTGTGGTGGCCATCGACTTCCGTGACCGAGTCACGGACTTGCGCGCCATGTGCCTGGCGAAGACGCCGGCATCCATGGCCTTCCTCGTCTGCGACACCATGCTGCCAACATTGACGACGCACCCAGATCCGCGTGCTGCCATGTGGCCATTGTAACAATCCGGGTATTTAGAGGAGCCAAAAATACGAACTTTTTTAAAAAAAAATTCCTGCAATGTGTGAAGCAAGTAGATGTTAGGTCAAATTCAGAACAATTTATAAATAAATTGTTGCATGCATATAGAATTACTTGTAGGAGTTTACCAGAGTTCCTTTGTTGGTTTAGGGTTTTGTGTTGGAGAGCACAAGTCCGTAGCAAATCCTTTTGATCCCTTCTGGAATATCTTATGAATCTCTTTTCCTCTCTCAAATCATCTTCTTGCTTTTGAACCTCATTCGAATCCCTTGATCTAATTCGTAAAGTCTATTGACCTTCCTTGTAAATCAATGCCCATCGAAGCCAACCCTTGGCATTGGATTCCGAGACCCGTAGTAAACCCTAGAGACCCTTGGATATTACCCAAGTGGGCCCACACCTAAGCTAAATAAGTTTAGCATACAAACACTTGATTATGGAATTAATCAAGCAATATTTGAAATGGAAAAGAGTAAAGGAAATAGGAAAGAAAGGTGAAGGCCATATTGGCCGGATCATTAACCAACCGAACCATTAACTTGGCTCCCTCACCTTACAGCCCACAGGCAAAGAATAAAAGAAGAATTGCAATGACGGCTCACTGGCCAGGGCTTAGCACCGCGCCGCCGCCCTGCCTCTCTCTCCTCCTTCGCCCCCCCACCAAGCTGCCAGCCCCCAACCAAGATATGGCAGTGGCCGGCCAAAGAAGCAGCTGGCCCACCGCCAATGGTGATGCACGCGCCCTGCCAACCCTAGGCGGCGCCACAGCCTCAGTATGACGGCCGCTCCCGGCCCTTGCAGCCACAAGGAAGGCAGAGCGCGCGCGTCAGGCACCACCTCGACGTCCGTACCACCGCCCGCTCGATTCGTGCCGCGTGTCCGGCCGTCACATCAACGGCGACGACGCCGAGCCGGCCGCCAAACCCTAGCATCGGCCGCTATAAAAGCCACACGCTCCGCCGCTCCTTCTCCATTCCCCATCCACGCCGCCCTCTTCTCCCACTGCTCCGCCCCCGAGCCCCACAGCACCGCGTCGTCGGAGCCTTCGAGCAGCCACGCCGCGCCCCCGTGCCCACGCCGTCATCATTGTGCCTTGTGGCGGGAGCACCATCGCAACCTCGGCGCCCCGCCCGCTTAGCCGCCTCGGGGGTGGCGCGCCGTATAACGACGCCACCATCAAGCCAGTTGTCGCGCCACCACGTCTGCAGCCGTGACCTCGTCGTGGACCGCGTCGCCGCTCCAGCGTTGAGCCGGCGTCGCCACCGTCCGCCTCGACCTCGGTGAGCACCCAAAGCCCAGGACCCCATCTTTTCCCTTCCCACCGTTACTCGGCTTTGAGCCCGGCCTTCGTGCCACAATCCTTCACGCCGCAGGAAGCGGCGGGCCTTGTAGCACCCTTCGCCGCCCTCTCGTGCCGCGCCACCGCGCGCTCGCCGCGCTCGCGCCTCGTCCACGGCCCTGTTACCGGTCGCTGCTCCAAGCCGATCTGCCACGCCGTGTTCCACCGCACCGAGCACCTCACCGTGACAGACAAGCCTTGCCTTTTCTCATCGCAAACGCCATCATCCTCCCTACCTATGCCGTCCTGTCCTCGCCGTGCGGCTGCACGACCAGCATGGCCATGGCGTCGACATGCCACGGCCACGACCGCGTCGCCATGAGCCACCGTCGCCTTCCTCTCCTTCGCCGAGCTATGCCAACCATGCCTCGCTGGCCTCTATGCCCCGTCTCTGTAGTACCCATCTCCAGGAGCTGCACCGTGTTGGGCTCCTCTACATGGTACCGCTCACCACCGCGAGGGCTTCGACAGGGCGCGACACAGCGTTAACCGGCCACAGCAGAGCCCACAGCCACGACCACCGATGTCGTCCTCGACAATGAAGCCGACCACGACGTGCCCCTGCCTCGACACGGAACCACGACCGGAGCTGCGACCTCGACCTTATCGGCCTCGCTGCCCTGCTACACCATGCTGGAGCACCACCACTAGGCCATGGCTGTGCCAAGCCTCAACCCCATCTTGGCCACGACAAGCATAAGCGCATACTGCAATGCCTCGTCTTCACTGAATCCATGCTACCGCAATGCTGTGCTCTATCTCCTCGTTCGAGCAGTGGACGCATACATGGTCGCCGTCCCGCAGCACCTCCCTGCTAATCCGTGCCTTGCCCGAACAGCCGGTGAGCCACCAACGCCTAAAACCCTTGCCTTTCTTTTCCATGTTCTTTTTGTACTTGTTGACCTTGATCATCAATATCATTTATCTACATTGTTATTTGATCTATCAATATCCATTGCCTATACATGATCATGATCTTTATTTATTCTATGCCTGTGCCGTGCCTTTGCCACCGGTCTACTTCTTTGTTCCATTTCCCTTCATGCCGATCTATCTATTACGCGTGTCTATCTCTTGTACCTCGAATTATTTTCCAAGTGCTTCGATTAGGTGCTACATCTTCGTCGCCCGATCACTCGGATGAGCCGAAGCCGTTAGACGATCACCGGTGCGACCAACTACAAGCTCCGCCAAGATCACGATACCGAGCAACGTGGGTCATGTTCTCCCACTTCGACAAACCTCGGTGAGCCACCACCATGCCCCTCTTTTTAAATCCCGACATTGCTTACCGGCCATGGCGTTCCAACCATGGAACGTGTAGACCAAGGCCACCTCCGGCCTTTGGACACACAAGCACACACACACGTGACTAACCCAAGTCAAATCGAACCACCGGAGTCCAAGAACACCGGTGTGGTTGCCGACCACCATTGAAGCATTCTCTAAAGCCATGTCTCGTCCTCCGTGAACCACGCCCGATTGAGTCAAGCCTTGATCGCCGTCTCTGACGATACGACGGAGCTCTACCACTCCTAGACATGCCCACACTCATTAGCACGAGATCGGACTTGGCCAAACAGATCCATGGTGTAGGAGACACCGGAAAGGACTTGTCGCCTGTAAAACCCGTCGTGGCCAAGCCATGCCGCGGCGAAGAGTTACCATGACCTCATCATGAGCCCCGAAGCCGTAATTGGACCACGTGGTATTGATCGCCGCATCATGGACTGCAGGTTTCCTTTCTTTGGTTGCCCTGATGGTTCCGTGGAACCCTGTGTCCGTGGTTCACCACTGTTCTGGCTACCCGAGTCATGAGTACATGCCGTTGAAATCTACCAGGACTCGCACTAAAGGCCTGTTGAGGTAGTCACATTGCACAACTCACGGACAAAGCCCTGGTATACACTGCATGACCTAGCACTGTTGCCGAGACCACCGTTGCCGAGACCACCGTTGCCGAGACCACTGTTGCTGAGACCACTGTTGCCGAGACCACTGTTGCCGAGACCACCGTTGCCAAGACCACCGTTGCCGAGACCATTGTTGCCGAGACCACATGGCCTCGCTACCCGAGACCACCATGGCCTCGCTGGCCGAGACCACCATGGCCTCGCTTGCCGAGACCACCATAAACCCATCTACCACAAGTCGTACCCTCTGGACCATGAACCCTAGTCGTATGTCTTACCGAGACCATGGAAAGCCCCATCTCGCATCTTTCCGTATATGCATATCTATCTTGTTGGGCCCTATTCTTACAACCTATCTGTCCATGACTGTCTTACAGGAATTCACCTATCACCTAGCTATGGAATGTGCTACTCCATAGTCATGTCGAGTTGTTGCGTCTTTCGGTCGTGTTTGGTTCTAATCGCTGGTTGT